CCCAAGCAAGGCGGGAAGCCACTAGCACGCAAGGAGTTACAGAAAGTTGGAGCGAGAGCAAAGAGGAGTGATAGTGGAAAGAATGAGGAGAAGGATAGGGGATAGATCAGCGCATCTGGAGACATCGATTGGCATTACATTTGAATAGTTGGAGATTATAACTATCAGGGAAACAGGAAAAGGGGAGGGAGTTCCATAGCTAGAGATGCGAGATATGAAGCTATTGGAGTAGAAGAGACGGCTATATTTAACAGTTTCGGCAGTGAAACGGTGTGAGCAAGATGCCAGCCTAGTAGACCGCTGAAATTCATTAAGGTTGGGAACCAGTAAAAGCAGCTCATCGGAGCAGTTACCATGAATAAATATTATGATACATAGGCATATATACGAAGGTTCAGTTAAAACCAGTTCGTCGCAAGTAAAAAATCATACAAGAAAAAGTGATGTTTGGTTATTAAGCTAGGTTATGTGAAGTCCGTTTAGATGAATTGATTACATGTGTGCATTTATCTATGTATATTCTCTTTCGGACCATAGGACCCGTAAGCATATATACGAAGGTTCAGTTAAAATCCGTTCGTCGCAAGTAAAAAGTCATCAAAGAAAAAGTGATGTTTGGTCATTTAGCTAGGTTAAGGGAAGTCAGTTTAGATGAATTGTTTACATGTATGTCTTTATGTATGTATATTCGGTTTCGGACCATAGGACCCGGGTTCGAATCTCACCAAGGCCGAATTATATATGTCTGGAGGAGCCGATCCCAGGGTGCAGCACCATAAGAAAGTGCCTGAAAAAAACATACCATGGGTTGACCAAAGCCTTGTGCGTGAAATTAGTTAGACGAAATCCGGCACGGTTGTGCTCTGACAAAGTCACAACTCATCGTGACCAAGAGTTTGTGTTTGCCAGCCTTGTCAAGACTGTTGATCACGCTAGGTAAAGCACTCTCGAAGGTCCGCTGAGCAGTTTCAGTATAAACTATGGGTGGGATCTGTGGATGTTGAACAAACACAATTGTTATTGAGCAGTCGTCCGCTTGTATGTTTGCATAAAAAAATAGTGTCAAGCCTGCACACTCGCCACGTCTCCATTGTCATAGGTCTTGTGTTAATCGCTTTTATGTTTTTTCTGGAAATGGATGAAAGTATGTTGAGAGAGAGAGAGAGAGAGAGAGAGAGAGTGAGAGAGAGAGTAGGTTATTATGAAAAGCCTGTATGTATGTAGGTAGATAGGTAGAAATGCATGTATGTATGTATGTGTGCGTGTATGTATATATGTATTTATAATTATATGGGCACTTGGGCGAGTGGTTAGAACGCTCGATTTCTAGCCATGAGACCTGGGTTCGACATTCACCACGATTTGCAAGGAAGATGACTTTCTGATGCTATCGGTCTGGAGGGGTGAGATCTCAGCGTGCAGAAACTTTGGAAATTTCCAGAAAAATTAGTGTTAAGCCTGCATACCGAAGCCTTGTGAGTGAAATTGGATAGACGGAACACTCTGATAACTGTGACCGAAGGTTTGAGTGTGCTGGCCTTGTTCAAATTGCTGATCACGCTAGATAAAATGCTCTCTGCCAGAAGCTGTACCTAAGGTCTGCTCAGCATAGTTGTGAGAGTTGAACAAACAAAATGTGCCTAAAATAGGAATTGGCTAGACGTGTATCCTCGAATACGAGTGGTCAGCAATTATTGTTACTAGTATAATTATATGGGTTGTTGAAAGAGAGAGTTATAAATTATTTATTTTACAAATATATTTATTTTTCAACAGACATTTTCCCTGTTGTTTTCTGTAGAGATAATGAGAGAATGTGAAAATTTATGTTTATTTTGTTTGGCACTACATTTGAAGAAAATATTCTTGATCTAACGTTTACATGTAAGATCATCCGGTTTGCTTTAATACACGAAACCACAGATTTGTCTCTGGTTTTGATTGAGGCCTCAACAGTAACGTGTAAATATATTTTTTTCTCATCTCTGAGGTAGGTAAAGATTGATTTGTAATTATTGTAGGAGTGTATCAGGGAATTTTAGATGTCCCATGGCACTGCTATAAAATGCAATAAGTACAGAAATTCACAACGATATCATTTGAAGATTCTGCCTTCTGAAGAATCAGGATAATTTTGTCTTATTTTTTGAACATAAAAATTTGAAAACAAAACCCCAAAACAACCGAAAATCTACCATTGCATAATATAATTTATGATTTACATAATTTAAATGAAGAGATATTAACTGAATACAAACGGATTCTCTTTAGTATTCCAAATTCATTTAATCTTCTAATCTGGCCACATCAGGTGGATTTTTTTCACTACTTTCAACTTAGAACTGAGTCTCTTCTGTGGGATATGAACGCTGTACATGGTTTCCGCTATCATCTCTAAATCTGGTCCTCAAAAAGTATGTATTCTTCATGTAATTCCTGTAATTGTCCTTAAGAAATATACCCTTGAAATGGACCAAGTTCTCTCTTCAAAAAATATAAATAATGTTTAAAACTTTTGTTGGAAATTACCAAGAACAAAAAAAAATGTATAAAATAACTTTCCTCATATGTTTATATTTTATTACAATTTTACAATTTTAATCATTGCTTTTTAAAACAATAATCATTGTCGTATGCTGAAGGTAGTTAAAATAATTGCAGTGACAAAGGAAAAAATGTTTGATACTCTATATTTTTGCTGGTTCCAAGTTTTCCATTTGGAAATTAGTTCTGATCATTATACTCATATAATATATATATATATATATATATATATATATATATATATATATATATAAGACATTTTTATGTTTATACGTTCTTTTTATAGATACAAATATTGAAGCAAAATCTGTTTATAATAAACAGTATAAACGACATTTAAACAGAGCATTTACATAAATATTCGTATCTATAAAAACCGTATAAACATAAAATTTTCTTAAAAGAATTGTCCGACTATTTCCATTTCATAATGTGTGACATCATTTATATATATATATATATATATATATATATATATATATATATATATATATATATATATATATATATATATATATATACACACATATATATATATATATATATATATATATATATATATATATGCGCCTGTGCGTGTGTGTGAGCAATTGTGTGTATGCGTGTGTGTGTGTTTGTGATGTTTAAGATAATTCGTGATAGCAATTATGAAATATGCCATTGTCTGTGACAAAAAAAGTTTCATGATTGAACCACAAACACTGTATTGATTAGAGGTTGTTTTGCTTTGATTTAACTGCTTTTCCGAGAACATCAGTTGACTGATAGACTAACATACAGTGTCAGAAAGACACAGACGATATGCTGCCTTGTTCATTTCGGTTAAATTCAAGAAGGCGATTTTACTCAACGAATTATTCAGCAGATAGAGTCTGTGCACACTCGGATTTTTTCTTGCATAATTTATATACGCGTAAACATCAACCAAAAATATATAACTTTTTTTTTACCTCATCTCGCGCAAATGTTTCCCACACTTGAACAAATATTTCCCTCCTTCCTGTGCACATCAATCAGCACCCAGCAATTATTATGGGAAAACGTGATGTCTCATACTTAATCATATTTGCCTTGAGGCAAAAGGGCATATTTGTTCTTCTTTTTTTACCTTTTCTTGATTACCTGCATCCGTAATAAAGAACACATTTCCTCTCGGATTTAAGTTACTTTTTCGAGAAGAGTCGTTTCATGGAGAAGAGTAGAAGCAAATGCATTTGGTGATAAGACACTCTATTTGATCCTAATGTCAAAGAGTAGATAAATTTCACCCAAATCGACAACACTTTACATCTTGATAAAAAACAAAGCAATGAATTCCATACACACAATCACCTCTCATATATATATATATATATATATATATATATATATATATATGTGTGTGTGTGTGTGTGTCTGTGTGTGTGTTTGTGTCTGTGTGTGTGTATTAAGGCAGCAATCCATCTATCATGTACATTTCATGGAAAACGACAGACAAGCTGATTTTTTTAGTTTTTTATACAATTTCTCATGCGATCTATTTTTTTTTTTTCTTTTCGGATGATAGATTATAAAAAAAAACTGTCCGAATGTTCTTTTTATCCTAGAGCTTTTGGTTATACATTTAGCCATTTTCAAGGATTAAATATTTTAACTGTTAAAATAAGAAATAGTTTGTTGTATGTATGTTTTATAAAATGTTTTCATTTTTCAAAACACAGTCAAGATATTATGTCCATGTTCAAAGTTAATATTATTAAGTGTTGTATTTATTAATAATGTTTCCATTACTTTTAGCCTTTTTTATGGTAGATGATGCTATTATACCAGTGTTGTCAACAAGTATGTTACGAATAGTATGCGGTAAGGTCCATGAATATTTAAATCTAATTGAGCTATGGTCGGAAAGGGTGTAAATCGATTATAATTTCAAGACAAAGGAGGAACCGCATACGTTTTTTTGGTTATAATGTCAATTTTTTTTAAATATATATTATACTTTATTTCCATTTTCCATATATATATATATATATATATATATATATATATATATATATATATATATATATATATATATATATATATTTAGATGCAGGAAGTATTCTGTGACAAATTTCTGGAATCAAATGTCCATCACATAAAAAACAATAAATGATAATTATATTAATAGTAAATAAACAAATAAATTATTATATTAAACATAAACAAATGAAACGTAATCAACAGCAATAAAAACCTTGCCCCGAAACAATAATTCCGCTAGAAACTGTGAAACATATTTTCCAAAAGCCCACCAAAAGATTTCGGTGATATAGGTATCAGGTTTGCCGGAATTCCCACAGAATCAAACTGCTTAGATTTGGTAACCATTGTAAAGATCGTTGAAAGGTTCCAGCATAAAGAAAAACAAAACCAAAATAGTAAAAGAAAACCGTATGATTTTAATTTAAAATACCTATTATTTTATTTCACGGTTATGGCTACATCACGTTGAAGCACCGGTTCCCGTACGATCACCGAAGTTAAGCAACGTCGAGATTATTCAATACATAGATGGGTGACCACATGTGAATAGTAGATGCTGAATTATTAATCAGAGTGCCATGTCCTAATTCTCTTTCGAGTTTATATATTCAATTACACGCAAATATCCTTGGGAAACGTATGAATTCATTTCGTCAATAGCAATGGGTTATCTGTCTATATATCTGAGATGAGGTATTATTTACATTATTCGGACTACTGTCGCCATATTTATTACAACGTGGCAGTTGTACGCTCCGGCTTTCTTCAGGTGGTTGGAATGTGGAACTGAACCATCAAGGACACATGGCACAGTGGATAAAGGCGTTAGTTAGATCCAGTGACAAGACCCAAAGAGTGTGAGTTCAATACCCGGTTAAGGCAGTGGAGAACTTGTAGAGGGGAATTAACAGGAGATAACTGATAACTGACATCCATTAAATATGGCACGTGGAAATAGAACAGTCTACCCCAGTGAGCGAAATAAAGGGTTCGTTTGACATTCCAACCAACTGAAGAAGGCCGGAGCGTACAACGGCCGAAACGTTGTAATAAATATAGCGACACAAATGAGGACAATAGTCCGAATAATGTAAATAATGTAGCGATGCGTTAATTAGTAAGACTTTTATCCCTAAAACATTATTATCTAAAAATATTAAAATAGAATAATTATTATTTCATTACCATTTTTCTATTTATATTTGGATTATTTGAGAGTATCTGTTGATGTATGCTTGTGTGTGCGTTGGTGTAATCGATAATGGTTCGGCCTTCTTAATGGGAGAATGGTTGTTGTTTTTTTATATTTGCATAGCTGTAAATACGCTTGGGAATGGTATTAATCAACCATTTCTCCGGGTTGATCAGTAAGATTTGCGACACTAAACCATTATTACCCCACCACTACCAATCTAAACACTATTTTCTGGATTTTAATAACGTGCAAATTATGGATGAGAAACGAATCAATCAATCAATAAATCGTATTTTATTTCCCTGATCTGATCATCTGTCAAAGATTTTAGAGATGCTTCTATTTCTTAGGATTACAGCTGGAATAGTTTATTGTTTTCAGATATCATTTCGGGAATAGGATCACGTTCCTGTATTCTATGACTACATTTTTCCCTTTGTTTATAGCAGCGTAATTGTTGATACAATCGCATCTATCACTAATGCTTAATTCCAGGCCTGTCGCTTTCCACTTACTCTATTATTCCTCCATTATTTTGATACATCAAACTTATAAGCAACTATATCTTACACAAAATAATAATAAGAATAATAATAATAACAACAACAAAATATGTAACATATTTTACATTGACAAAGCCCTTCGTAAAATGTGGGCTGTACTCGTGTGAACAGTTCTTTTTTTTGTATTTCTTTATGGCATGGTCTTCCAGCAATGCCTTCAATTCTAATGGAACTTTTTCTAACCAATCAGAGGGCTCCAACTACAACAGTGATTGTTGATGTTTCCATTATTATTATTATTATTATTATTATTATTATTATTATTATTATTAATCTTATCTGTCCAATAACGTTTAGAGAATCTCTATATATGTTATAAGCTTATAAAAGAAGATGGGTATCTGGATAGGGGTATGGCCAAATTATACATAAAAAATTAAGTAATAGGATAGCGAGGCAGTTATAATATGGGGCGGAATGATCATCCTTCATTTGTAGTACAAAGTTTTCGGTCCCCTGTCGTTTCTCTAAAGCCTGTCATATGGCGATATTTCTCATTGTGTACAAAGGAGTTTTTTTTTAAACTATCAGATCCTCAAATTGCCCAAATCAAAATCTCTAAATCCATACTTAGTTTCGTCAAGTCACTTGTCGAGGACGGAAGAATGTTGTCTGTTGGAAGGTTTAGTGTTCAGTGAAATGTCAGTGGCGTAAACGCTAGAGAAATGGCGCAAGAACAACTTTTGTATAACCTTGTGTCATCAATTACTGCCAATGGGCAAAATTGGACATTGACTGTGCAAAGAAGAGGACAGATAGACTGTCCAGTAATCTCCCTTTTCGACAAAAACCATACACACTATATAGAGGTCAAAAGACGGAATCTAAATCTGCAGTGGGTTAGAATTAATCCTCAACTTGCATCTGCACTAATCTTAACGGACAGCCTTGGACGCAGCGCATTTATGGGCTGTATAGAAATTAGGAGCCACTTGTACCCTGTCTCTCACACTAACTTGCTCCTTAGATTGATTTTATGAAACATAGCTTCGTAAACAAGAAAAGTTATTTCTGCGGATAAGCATGCAGACGCCATTTTGTTTTGTTTTTGTATTGTGTGCAATTTATATAGTTAAAAAAACTTCGTTGTAAGCAAGATGGAATAGTAGTAAACATTTTATATATATATATATATATATATATATATATATATATATATATATATATATATATATACACACACACACAACCATAAATATATTCATATATATATATATATATATATATATATATATAATATTTACATTATTCGGACAAGTGTCTTCATCTTTGTCGCCATATTTATTACAACGTTTCGGCCGTTGTATGCTCCGGCCTTCTTCAGATGGTTGGACTGTTGAACTGAACCCTTTATTTCGCTCCCTGGGGTATACTGTTCTAGTTCCACGTGCCAAGTCTAATGGATGTCAGTTGTCAATTATCTCCTGTTAATTCCCCTCTCCAAGTTCTCCACCGCCTTAACCAGGTATTGAATTCACACTATTTGGGCCCTCTCACTGGATCTACCTAACGCCTTTATCCACTGTGCCATGTGTCCTTGAAGACAAATAATAATAAAAATAATTTGTTGTTTTCAGATATCAATTCGGGAATAGGATTCTTTGGGTGTACAAGTACACATGGCACATGGGGTTAACAGCAGATACTTGACAACTTACATCCGTTAGACATGGCACGTGGAATAAGAACAGTCTACCCCAGTGAGCGAAATAAATGGTTCAGTTCGACATTCCAACCACCTGAAGAAGGCCAAAGCGTACAACGGCCGAAAGGTTGTAATAAATATGGCGACAAAGATGACGACAAAAAATCCGAATAATAATAAATAGTATACATAATACCTCATCTCAGATGTGTATATATATATATATATATATATATATATATATATATATATATATATATATATAATATGTGATGCAGTTCAAGTTATATTACAATGAATCATTCAAACAAAAAGTAAATTAGTAAAGTTAATGATATAAAATGGCGAAATCCCTTCGCTAACAAAATTCTAAAGGTGCATTAACCTACCAATCACTCGATTAATATTATAATCCTTGTTTTTTTTTTTTTTTTTTTTAATTATAAGCTGTATAAGGTCTTTCTTAAACATGCAAAGTACTTTCGACTGTATATTAATCATCTTCAGGCATGGACATATTTTTTGTTTTGGTTAACTTTACTAATTTACTCTTTGTATGAATGAGTCATTTAAAAATATATATATATATATATATATATATATATATATATATATATATATATATATAATATATATATTTTTGTTTGTGTACTGAACTTTATTACGGAAATAAAAATTAAGACCAATTTTACACTTCATGATACAAAAAAAAAAAAAAAAAACAATCAGCCGACCTGTTTTGTTTCACTCAACAGAGCCGGAATCGTGGAATAAATATCACAATATAAAAGTTAAAATACATATAATGTGCAATATTAAATGCGGAACAATATAGATTGAACTAACGTCAAGTCCTAACAGACACACGTATGGTTCTGCCATTAGGGAGCACTTCATAAAAATGTCCAAATTATGCCATGAATTTCAACACTCGATCACTTATACATTTGAAGGCATAGAAAAACAATTTCTCAGGTCCAAACATCCCTCCATCTATAAACAGAGATAGTGTCTGTTAAGACTTGATGTTATTTCATTCTAGATTGTCCCGCCTTTAATACTGCACATTATATGTTTTTATAATTTTAAATTGTGGTATTGCCTCGATCCATCACTGTGAGGGCGAAACCGGTCGGCTGTTTTTTTTTTGTTTTTTTTTTTAGTTTTTTTTTCTCTATTTTTTATCATGAATGGTAAAATATAATCTTACCATTTTATTTACATTATATATATATATATATATATATATATATATATATATATATATATATATATATATATATGTGTGTGTGTGTGTGTGTGTGTGTGTGTGTGTTTGAGAGAGAGAGGGGGGAGATAACTATATATAAATTTGTATATGTCAGGAACAATTTAAGGGTAAAGATATGACATATTTTGAAAGTTTTCGTGTGACATGTTTCGTCCTTTAGGACTTCATCAGTGTTATTTTATTTATATTCTTGCGAATAAACATCCGCTCGTTCTGTTAATTTCAGATCCACTATGCTACATGAAATACTAACAGAAGAAATGAATAAACACGAAATCATTTTTTCAATATATACGGAACACAGCGACTTAGAAATTGCTGATTTTCCGAATGTTGCAATATCTTTTGTGCCCAAATTTCGGATAAGTCGTACGATTCTTGAGGGAATTTTTCAAAGAAAAAAGACATTGCAAATGTTTCGATATTATAGGGACATCGCAGTTCATCCAAAGAATTCAAAATATTATCGATGATTATTTTTAAGAATCAATGAGAACCATCGCCGAAAATCTTCATTTATCGGAGTGGACAATCAGAACATTTGAATCAAGTCCTATGTATTTAGAAGAGTTTAATCTATGTGTGTAACGACAGAGGAAAAACGTTTGATATATTACAATCGGTTACATAACTTTAGCCCTCATAAACATCTATGCCTTGGTTCTTCTTTGATCAGAAAAAAATGAAGCAGGAACAAAAGTCTAACATGAGAAATGACAAATGGTTATGTGTAGATCCTTCTGATGGCCCCAGGGTTTTGTATGCTAAGTTACCAGCAAATATCATGCATTTAGGAGTGGTGAAAAATGAAAGTAAAGTCATGCTACTTCAAACCTTCCCATAGGGTCGTAAGGTTAATGCTGATGGATACCTTGAGGAATTGGAGAC